TTCCAGAACCCGGCCGAATGTCTGAAAGAGGGGTGGGGCTGAGCAAGAGGCCCCACCTGTGCAAACAGCAACTGTTAACCCTAAAGGAAACCAAACTTGCTTCTTAAACCTCCGTGCCTACTTGCTCAGAGGCTAAGTCCTTATGGTTGTTAGTTGGCTCTGCCACTGACTTTTACGACAGAATTTAAATCTAGCTTTAAACGTGCAGTTTTGTAATATGTAATGCTCTGGGCAGGGCAACTGCTCTTTCATAACCCAGCTTCAAGCACTGTGATATCAAGACATTTTTGTATTCTTACAGGGATTTTGTGTTGTCAATACCCAGAAACTTTGTGTTTGAAATACAGTCCCCAAATTGGAGCAGATTTTCCCGAAAACTATGCGTTCCAGTTCATGTATCCGTGTATATTTACTAACTATATAAGTGCAGCATGATGCTAGTTCTGTCAGGGATTATGTATATTTTATAACAATAAAAATATAGCTCATGCTGTGCATATGGATAATCCCAGCTGTTCAGGAGGCTGAGCAGGAGGATTTATAAGTGTTGAGACCAGCCTTGGCAACTTAGTGAGACTCTGTCTTTAAGTAAATAAGTAAATAGGGATGGGGATGTAGCTCAGTGGTACAGCTTGCCTGGCATGTACAAGGTCCTGGACTCAACCACCAGTGGCCGCCCCCATGTAGTTTCTTGCCTTAGAGGAGTGACGTGAAAACAATATTTTGAGAAAATTAATCTGCACTGATAACCAGAGATGTTTAGTGATATTGGAAGCAGAAAAACTCAAAACTAGTGTGGCAACAGTGAAGATAGAAAGAAAAGGGTGATTATGAGACGTATTTCATAGCAATATTCTTTTTTTGTTGTTTTGTTTTGTTTTTTTTTTGGTACCGGGGATTGAACTCGTGTCCTTGCGCTTGTGAGGCAGGCCACCAAACCACTCAGCTAAATCCGCAGCCTGGCAATATTCTTTTTTGAGATAAGGTCTCACTGTGTATGTAGTTCAGGCTAGCCTTGGATTCACTGTGTAGTCTAGGCTGGTTTCACACCTGCAGCAATCCTCCTGCCTCAGCTGCCCCAGTGCTGGGATCGCAGGCGTGTACTACCATACCTGGCTATAGCATTTTTTTTCTTTTTTGAGGGAGGGTTGAGACAGGGTCTTGCCATGCAGTCCAGGCTGGACTCAAATTTGTGACAATCCTCCTGCCTCAGCCTCCTGAGTGCTGGGATTACAGGCATTGCCACCATGCCCAGCTCCAGCTATAGCAATATTTATTAAGAGGCAATATACTTTTTTTTCCTCAGTACCAGGAATTGAACTCAGGATCTTGTGCTTGCCGGGTAGGTGCAGCAGTACTGAGCTACATCCCTGACTCTTACTATACTTTAGTTTTGAAAGCATGGAACCAATCTGCCAAGACTGGAGTCTAGCACTGCCATTTACCAGTTGAATGGTTATGGGTAAGTTATTTTACATCTCTAGGCCTTAGTTTCCAATATCAGAGGGGCTGTAATGCCAGTTGCCTAAATTAATCCACTGAAAATGGTACCTGTCACATGCTTAGTATTTAGTAAGGGCTATTTCTTCACAAGAATAGGCAATGTATTAACACACTTTCCAGAAAAAGTAAAATAAAGTTCTAAAGTGTAGATACAGATTTCAATTCTGAGGGGGTAAAAACTCAGAATATTAAGGTGAATTCCAAATCTAGGACCCTCCATTGATCATAATTTGAAAGTCATGGGCTAAATATACATAATATAAGTATACTAAGAAATCATCTCTGTGGCTGTGGCCTGTGGAACACAAGAGGCAAGGAAGGCATCACTTAGCTATTTGATGATTAGATAGGAAAAGGGAATGCGTGAGTTGTAACTGAAAGGGGCAGCTACAGCCAGCAGGGTGCCACTTGCCTGTAAACTCAGCACCCAAAAGGCTGAGTGAGGAAGATTGTGAATTCAAGGTCAGCCAGCCGGGCCGTGGTGGCCCATGCCTGTAATCCCAGCACTTGGGAGGCTGAGGCAGGAGGATCGCTGGGAGTTTGAGACCAGCTTGGCCTACAAAATGAGTTCCAGGTCAGTCTCAACTACATAGTGATACCCTGTCTCAAAAAAACAAACAAACAAAAAAAAAGGTCAGCCAGGGCTAAATAACAAGACCCTTTTTCAAAAAAAAAAAAAAATGCAGTATGGACCTTTGCCTAGAATTGTTTATTTGGCCAGAAAGTTTGACATCCTCATACAAGCAACTAAACAATTCTTTCAATTTAATACTCCCAGTTAGTTTGTAAGACTTAAGTCTCACTTTTACTCCTGGAGTGTGAATAGCCAAGAGGCTTCCACGATGCTAGGCTCAGAAGCTCAGCGAGGCTCCAGGAGCTTGTCAGACAGCGAGAGTCACCCAGGAAGGAACACACCAGGCAAGTTGGCAAATAGACCTTTATTAGTCTGGCCAGACGGCACTCCCCAAGCCAAGTAGCTCAGAGAGGCGGCTAGCTCAGATACAGAGGCCATTTTATATAGGGCTAAGCGGGGGTTTACACTCAAAACTTACAGGAAGGGGACAAAGGCAAAGAATCAGTTGATCTGAGCTAGTGGTCATCAAGCATACACTCGACCGTTACATACTAATGAACAGCAGATCGATTATCCATTATTCCATTTACAGTTTATAATGTTCAGAACATTCAACTACAGGCAAGCAAGGAGTGGCATGATTGATGTTGGGTCTCTGTGTTCACTACAGTTTCCATTTAGTTTCCCAGCTACTTCAGAGCAGTTACCTAACAATTCACAATTAATCATTAGTTATCCTATAAGGGATGGGGGGAGCGACAGTCTCTAGGTCGTTTGCTGGTCAACATGGAGTCGCTCTGGTTCAGTCAGACTCTTACAAGTGGTGGCAATAATTTGATTTCAGGAATGATTGTGAAATACTGTGAATTATGTGGTTGGTCATCTTTTGTGAAAACCTGTATTTCTAGTCTGCTGGTTACTTTAAGCATAAAACCAACAACATTAACAATAAGTAACATTAACAATAACCTTGGCAGTGATAAAAGGCTAACATTTGTTGAATAGTTTTTATGCATTAAGTACCATGCTACTTGCTTTGCATGTAGATTTTTGTTTAATCAAGTGAGATAGGGATGATCTTCCCATTTTATGGATAACTGAGGCTTAAAGAGATTAGGTGAGTTGTCTACATCCATACCACGCTGAACACGCCTGATCTCTGAAGCTAAGCAGGGTCAGGCCTGGTTAGTACTTGGATGGGAGATTAGGAAACTTGTCCAAAATAACAATTATAGAGCTGAAATTCAAACTCAATGTCTCTGATTTCCAAGCCTATGTTTCTAACCATTATGCCCTGCACTTCAGAAGGCAGTGTTAGTTGGAGCACATGCCTAACATGTGTGAGGCCCTGAATTCATTCCCAGCTTTACCAAAAAAAAAAAAAAAAAAAAAAGAAGCTAGCATACATTTTAATTATCTCAACTAACTATGCACTTTCCTTCAGATGTGCCCCCCCACCTCATTCTTTTGTTTGTTTGTTTTTTGAGACAGGGTCTCACTATGTAGTTGAGACTGACCTGGAACTATGTAGTCCAGGTTTATCTCGAACTCACAGTGATCCTCCTGTCTCAGCCTCCAGAGTGCTGGTATTACAGGCACGTGCCACCACACCTGGCTTCCCCACCCCATTTTTAGTCCATTGCTTCTTCAGGTGTGCAGGCCCGGAGTAGGTTGATACCACATCACTTCCCTAAGCAACACCTGTTCTCCAATGCTCCCTCCAGCCCTTCCCATGCCAGACACCCACTGGTTCGCTCTCCAAACCCTTGGGAACACGACTTAATGTAGCTTCTCCTCAGTCAAGCAAGTTGCTGTTTGTTTCCTTAGGTTCCAACCTTCCTTTTCCTCTCCTTCAGCAACCTCTTCTGCTTCATGTACCTTTATCTTTTCCCTTTCCTCAATAATTTAATTACAGGTACTAGTTATTGCCTTTTTTTACTCTCCTGCCTACCTCAAAGTAGTGAACCCCTGCAATGGAGTCTTTAGCTAGCGCTGTCGATTTCTCCCACACTGCCTCAACAAGCTGTGTTCTTAAAGCTTAAGGGCAGGGTTATATCTTCCTACTCTTGTCCACTATTAAAAGTGTACTAAGCACTAACTGCGTTTATTTATTTATTTATTTTTGAGACAGGGTCTCACTATGTAGTTGAGACTGATTTGAAACTCACAATGTAGCCCAGGCTGGTGTCGAACTCACAGCGATCCTCCTACCTCAGCCTCCCGAGTGCTGGGATCACAGGTGTGCGCCACCACACCCAGCCCACTGTGTTTAAACACAGCTTTTACACTGGTAAAAGTCATGGACGCTTGCCTTGCACCCATGGGTCTCTATCTTTCCTCAATTAACAAGCATTGAACAATTGGGCCATCCACTATGCATGCTGCATAAGGGCTGTTTTTTTTTTTTTTTTAACCCAGGACGTTGTTTCTTTGCTTCACTGCTGTTTCCCCCCGCACTTAGAACATAGTAGGTGCTCAATTGATGATACAAAGACGAGCTTTCTTCGCGCTTCACAGCCATCTCATAGTAGGCGCTCAATTAGCGCGTGACTAATAGCCAGTTGCAGTTCAGAAGGCAACCCAAGACGTCTCAGCCAATTGGAAATTAAGGGCGGGGCGAAAGTGGTCCAGGCAAAGGGCGTGCCTGACCCGGGTTAAATTCCTAGAGCATGCGCAGTCCCTACCAAAGGTGACGAGAAAAATGCGGAGGCTGCGATTGCACAGAGCGGGTTCTGATTGGCTACTGTTCGCGCGTGAGGGTCCGTACCTACTCGTCGCCAAGTAAACAGGACAGGCTAGGGGCGGGGCTAAGGAGGCGCGACGGCTTGGTTGGCCGGGCGGGAGGTGGGGGGTGCCGCGGATTGGTTCCGGCCGCGAGCTCAGCTGTGTAGCTCACCGGGTCCCCGAGCCGGTGGCCTGAGGGATGGACGAGACGAGCCCACTAGTGTCCCCCGAGCGGGCCCAACCCCCGGAGTACACCTTCCCGTCGGGCTCCGGCGCTCACTTCCCGCAGGT